CATTACTTATAACGTTAAATTTATAATATTTTAATCAAAATGATTAGTAAGATATACAAAGTATGAGTATAATAAATTAGTGTGATCACCATAAATTTAATGTTATAATCAATAAAATCAAAATATGACCACACTATATTTTAGATCATATTGTCACAGTTGGAGAATGATTGTCACAGTTGGAGAATGATATGTGTTAAAGTCAAAATAGCAAAGTAAGGGTATTTTTTATATAATAAACTTTAAAAATTATTATATACATAAAATAATGATTTTGTTGATCTACGTTCTCCGAAAATAATGGGTATTCATCTCGACAAAACTATATATTAATCCACATTCCAATCTCCATCTCACAAAAAGTATTCACATGTGGGAAACCCTAAATTAGGCTGGTAGTCATTTTGTCTGATAGGAGATAATAGATTCAACCCTTGAGAATTATGAATTACCTTTTTTACGCAGTTTTACAGACTATTGCATAGGATCGATGCATTCAACCTTTTAAATTATAATTTTGATTGATTTATCTGTGTGTTTTTTGATATTTTGGAAGATATAATTAGATCGAAAATATGATAATTTTTAATTATAAAAAAATTATTTTGAATAATTTTACATTATATGACCATATGTATTTGGTGAATAAAATTTTACAATGATTTAGAAGGATAAACTTTTGTGAAACTATGATTTTTTTTTTTCAAAACGTCAGAACTTGGAATTTGTTTATCGGTTACACCCATAGCATTAATTTTCACTTCTCACTAATTAATTACCCAAACGGATAATTGTTTAAGAGATATTGAAATGTGGATCACTTCACAGGTATCTAATGCTTATCAATTTTAAGTAACTAGAATAATTAAGTAACATGGCCATATTCTTTATTAATTTCTGAAATAAAAATATCAAAGTCACAGCAATAAGAAAATATCAATATGTTACGTTTTATACCCTATATATATATCATTCAAATATTCCCTTTTAAATTAATTTATTGAGTGCGTAGAATACGTTCCGCACCATTCATTACATAATATATAAAATCTTATATATATATATATATAACTTGGATGTGCTCTGCGCAGAGAATCTGGTTTTGCACTCAAGGAAATTTATCACAAATTTAAGTATCTCTTTTTGGCATATTTTGAAATAAATATTGTGTTGAAAATTTTTTGTTTGACTTGTGAAATAGTTTTAAAATAGGCCATTAATTCCTATTATAATGCAAAAAATGTCTCGTTTTTTTTCGAAGGATAAACATGAATGTATATGTGCGACAAAAAACCGTGAATGTAGTATATGTAATTGATACATGATGTATATACATCATATATGTATATATATACGTACATAATACATATATACGTATGGGCACAAAAACACTTACGGAACTTTTAAATTGTTCCATGATACGTTCACACTTTTATTCATATGTATAGACAATTCTCAATCTATATATATATATATATATATCGACTCTCCCAATTAATATATTTTAATAAATACCGATAGATATTGGTAAATAACAAAATTGTGATAATCCACTGTCGTTTCGATCCCTTATAGAACATATAAAAGGTACTGGAATATTATATAACTCAAGTATAATCCAGTTAATTCATTTGAGTTGCACAATTAGATATATTCTTCATTTGAGTTGCACAATATTATATAACTCAAGTATAATGCTAGTTTGAACTTCAGACCAAAATACGTAATTATAAAAAACAAAAAACTGTCTTAATATAGTTATAGGTGTGAGTTTTTTTTTTTGCATTTTCGAAAGAGTGGAAATATAATTTGGAGAAATATTTGAATTAACCCTTTTTTTCATTTTTCCAAAAACAGACTTGTAACTCTTTTTTTTTTCCAAATAAACCCGAACTCAATCTTTGAATTAGAAAAAAACTTGAACTTTATAAAATTTTTCATTTTTAAACCCAATCCAACTATTGATGTAGCAATTTGTGATTTTGACTGAGCCGTATATACGTCATCATTTTAATGACCATGTAACCAAATTACAAATTGACATGTATGATATCGAAATACCATTTTATCGATTAGGTTTAAAAAATATAATATTTTTACAGTTCAGGTTTTATTTCGGCAAAAATAGAGTTTAAATTTTTTTCTGGAAAAAATGAAAAGTTCGGTATAATTTTAGAATTTTCCCATATAATTTTTCTCATGTGGCTCATGCGAGAACGCGTCCAATCTAATTAATTAAACCAAGTTATATATATATATATATATATATATATTAAGGATGTGGCATCATAATTTACATGATTCATGCATTAAAAATCTTAATTGTCAATATTTCTTGTGTTTGGAATTTAAAAACTTGGAAAACTCTAAACATTCGACCCTATAAATTAATGGGTTAATCGCATAAAAATACTCGAACTTTTACAAAAATCCCACATAAATACCCAAACTATATAATTATCATATAAATACCTAAACTTTTCACAACTCTCATATAAATACCCGGACTTTTATTTTTTATTTTTCAAATCAAACATCCATCCGTTAACAGCATCAATTTCAATCCAAAAAAGTGACGAGTCAGCAAAAAAAGTGATGAGTCAGTATTAAATATTTTATATGCTGATGACTCACCATTAAACATCCAAATATTTTATATGCACTTAGTATTTATTTTTTAAATTGTTATAAAAATTTTACATTTTAAATAAAAAATATATTAAAATACATTTAAAAATATTTAAATTTAAAACTATAAAAAAATTTAAATTTAAATCTTAATATAAAAATAAAACTTAAAAATATTTTAATTTTAATTTTTTATAATATTTATAAAAATTTTAAATATTACAAAGAAATGAATTGATATAGATATTAAATTTAGATATGAAAATATTTATATAGATTCTATATCTAAAAATATTTACAATTAGTAAAATGTATTTAATTTTAAATACCCTTTTATAAATTATTTAATTTTTATCCAATTATAAATTATGTATTTTTGAATCTTGTTGAAAGTTTATCCATTAAGTAATGATTTTTTTTTTATTGTAGACATTAAATAATAGCGTTAAACAATTTTTTGGATATATAAAATTGAAAAGAATTAATTTCAATAAAATATTACTGTATTTTAATTTATTATTTAAGAAAGATCGAATTTTATTTTTGAATTAAACTAAATTTAAATTGGAATAAAAATAGAAACGATTTTAACAAAAATTAAATCACATAAACTTTCAACAAAATTCAAAAATACATAATTTATAATTGGATAAAAATTAATTAATTTATAAAAAAGTATTTAAAATTAAATACATTTTACTAATTGTAAATATTTTTAGATATAGAATTTATATAAATATTTTCATATTTAAATTTAATATCTATATCAATTCATTTCTTTGTAATATTTAAAATTTTTATAAATATTATAAAGTGCATATAAAATATTTGGATGTTTAATGTTGAGTCATCAGCATATAAAATATTTAATGCTGACTTATCACTTTTTTGCTGACTCATCACGTTTTTTGATTGAAATTGACGGTGTTAATGGACGGATGTTTTATTTGGAAAAAAAAATTAAAAGTCTGGGTATTTATGTGGGAGTTGTAAAAGTTCATGTATTTATATGACAATTATATAGTTTGGATATTTATGTGGGAATTTTGTAAAAGTTCGGATATTTTTATACGATTATCCCTAAATTAATTAATTTGTTCTGAAATTCGGCATCCACTGTTGCATTTTCAATACTAGTTTAATTCACACGCACATATATATGTGGGGGTTAAATGAGTTGATACGGGGGAAAAGAAGAGCCTAAAGAACAAAACAAAAGATTCGCCGGCCGCAAAGCGTGAGGGATGATGAGAGGGACCGACGAGCTTTTGGGAGTGAGGGAAGAGTCCTTCACGTGCACTAACTCATCCCAATCATAATTATGCCCTCCATGTTCTTAATCCTCGTTTAAACATATCATTACTCACCACCAAAAGCATCCCCTTTTCTATAAACATATTTGTTAATGGCCCTCTTTTTGTTATCAAATCTGTGATGATGACAAATTTTTAAATAATTTGATTTATGAAGTTGCTCCTTTCTCTTTTATTTTTTTGTAAGAAAAAAAATGAAATCTTAATAATGGTTGGCCCTAACCCATTTATATTATGGTCTGCATATATATATATATATATATATATATATATAATTTCTAGGAGTATGAGATTAATAGATAACTATGTGTATTCAAGCATCTAAGGGAATCAGATTTACTTCAATGCATATTAATTCATTTCATATTTGATTTTAATAATATAGCCATGTGATAGAAAAACGAATTGCATAATTCTTGTTATCTACTTTTTTCTATAATTATAATTATAACTGAGAATCACGAAGAATTCACATCATTTTAACATTTAAATCTATATAAACTATATCTCTTATTTAGTTTAAATTATCTATTCAACAATTATATTTTTAATAATAATAATAATAATAATAATGAAAACGATGATCATATATCCGATTCAACGGTAACAACATCGTTTTGACATTAGACAATTAAGGAGTTTTAAGTTAGGTAAATGAAGTTTTCCGGTCAATGAAATCGATCCCCATATGTTCGGTCAGTTTTGATAAACCGAAGAAGTATTATCTTTCGGTTTAGCATACCAAGGTTTATCTATTTCAGTATTGATAAACCGGTGATAAAAAGATTAAACCGGTTAAGGACAAAACATCAGGAACTCTCTTGCGCGCGTGGGCAGTGGGACAGCCACGCGCTCTAAGACAGGTGGTGAACTAATAGTGGCTGGTATCAGAAAAAGATAAATAAAATATAATTCATTAATTAAAAATTGAAAAAAAAAACTTCAGCTAAAATCCAAAAGCGGTGGAGTGGAAGGTCTCATGTGCTATTTCTCTCTAAAACAAATATGAAAATTAAAACAATGAAAAAGCACAAAAATTAAATTAAAAATTAAAAAAATCACATTCCCCTCTCTCTCTCTCTCTTCTTGTTAACGATGATTATTAGAGAGAGAAGGACAGGAACACGAACAAAAACAAAGCCCACTTTGTCTCTAACCCTTTGTGAAGAGCAAGAAAAACACGCAACAAAACATCAAATTCCTCTGTTTCTTTCAGAGAGAGAGAGGAAGTTTCTGGAGAATTCACGATATCAGAAGCAGCAGAGTGGAGAAGACGATGATGGATTGAATGAAATTGGAGAGATAAGAGACATAAATCTAGAAGAAGATACGGAGGAAAATAGAAAAAAAAAGGTCAGGTTTTTAAAGAGGGAAGGAAGAGTCGTTATTGCAGAAGTAGAAGAGGTTTCAGTGTTCTTTTTCACTCTGATCAGAGAGAGAGAGAGAGAGAGAGAGGAAACAAAAAAGTCAAAATTTTGCAGAGACCGATCCAAGTTGCTTCCTTTTGGGTTATGTAACAAAATTTTGCAGGTGCCCTTCTTCTTCTTCTTCGAAATCTGCAGATTTTCAGACAAGGACCCATTTAGATCTCTGGGTTCTTCTTCTTTGTCGATGTATATGTACATTTGAGCCTGTCTTTCCTCTCTTCTATCTCTCTCATACGAAAAAAAAGGAATTTTTGTTGTCTTGTGAGTGCTCGAATCCGTGAGATTAGGGTTTTCTTTTGTCGTAATCAGCTGTGGCTACGACGAGGAGGCATAATCTGCCGACGTCGGATTCGGGTGCCTTCGCCGATTGGGCGGCGACGACATCCTCACGCGCCTCCGACGATCTCTCCCTCGGCTTCAATGCTCCTCCCTCCGTCGCTGCAGCTCCGTCTTGGCATCCCGGAGCCACCGCACGCTTCGGCTTCCCTACTCCGTCTCCGGCGGCGACCGAGATGGGCATGGTCGGTCTCCGCGACGTCTTCGTCGTCGCTCCGGCTTACCACCATCACCACCAGGACCCCTCATCCTCCACCTCCGCCGCCGGAGATCATCACATAAACGGCTCGGCTGCGACCGCCCTCGGCGTTGGCGTCATCCCTCTCCTCACCGCTTCGCCGTGCATAGCCGCCGCCGCCACTGCTCCCCCGCAGAA